TCCCTTTTATTTAAAAAAGTATTAAGGTCACTAGATCACAGAACAAGAGATGTTACTAGATGGTTATGTAATATGTAAAATATTTGGGGATTACTGTATATCTTGATGTAAGATTTTAGTCATAATGATTGAAATATTGTGAAAATTCTATGCTGCAAAATACAAAAATTAATATGTTAAACTTGTTTTTATCATTACAGATAACATTTAATTACAGAACTATACCATTTGACCCATTGGTGTTATGTTAGTAAATTATATACTATTATAGTATTTATTAATATTTTGAATTAGTTTTTGTTATTTTTTTCATTTTAGTTTTAGTAATTTTATGTGCTTTTGCCATTTTTAGTTTATATTTAGCTATTTAGCTTTATTGTTTTTATTTCAGTTTTAGTAATTTTAGCACTTAATGAGTATATAGTAAGTATAATATAATAATTAGTTCTTAGTATTTACTTACTTGATTTCAGTTAATTGCCAATGCAATCTTGCTAAGTATTGTTTGTAATTCAAGTTTTTCAGCTAACACTTTATTTTTGGTTTATTTCAGCTTTATTTGATTTAACAAAATTAGTAGTTTTAGCTAATAACAACGCTGAATAGTGGTCACATGTAAATCATTCATCTCTCTCCATCTCTCCACCCTACAGCTCGTTGAAGGAATGCCTCTCAAGAATGGAAAAACTTTGAAATACAGGATTAATGGTTAGTCTTCAAAATGTTGATGCTTTTTATGTTGTCATTTCTAATGTCATAATTTAAATGACTCCCATTTAAAAAGCTTAAAATTAGGCATTTTTACGTTTGGTTTTTAAAACTTTACTGCTCCGATAGTTGTGAGCGAACTGTTTAATGATCTCTGATTTTGTTCTGCGTCAGGTTTCTATGCACTTCTCCTCACGGCTGTGGCAGTAGGTGTGGGTGTGTATCAGGAGGTGGATCTCAGCTACATCCATGCTCACTTCCTGCAGTTCTACACCTCGGCCCTGCTCATCGTAACTCTTCTCAGCGTCTACCTTTTCGTCCGCTGTCGCTGGGCGTCTGAAGATGAGCTTGCTCCTGGAGGCAACTCTGGTATGATGCTTGGTGTAAAATCAGGCTGCATTGACTGTATTTTCCCAATTTAGCTCTGGGTATTTTTACTTCAATGGCTTTTAAAGTGACTAATCCCCATTATTGATTCCCATTAAATGATTATCCAGACAGAGTTGTCATATAGTTCTTAGTACTTAGTTTTCGCAGTTCTAGTTGGGATAGAGCAATCACAGTTGTTTATAATTACTAAATAAGCCTTCTAACAAGATCATTCATTTTATAGAGATTGCACGGGAGAATTTCCATTTATGTTAGCTAGAGTTAATAGATTTAAAAGATTATACTTGTTCTTTTTATTCCTCTAGGCTACATTATCTATGACTTCTTCATGGGCAGAGAGTTAAATCCCCGCATCAAGAATTTCGATATCAAGTTCTTCTGTGAAATGCGTCCAGGCCTGATGGGTTGGGTGAGTTTTGTTACTGTTTTTAATTTTCCCTGTGATGGTTTATTTTGGTTAGACTGATGTTGTAATCGCTCCTTCTTGTGGTCAAACATTTATGGTCAAATTTGCAGGATGAAGTCAGTAACACTCAGTTTTCATGTGAATCCTTAGTGTGCTATATTAAACGGTTAGTTTTTACCGATTGAAGAAACATAATCATTGCTTGTTTCTATAGGTATTGATTAACTTTGCAATGTTGCAAGCTGAAATGAAGCACCAGAATCTAGAGAATCCCTCTCCAGCAATGCTCCTGGTCAACATCTTCCAGCTCCTGTGGGTTGTTGATGGCTTTTGGCATGAGGTACAACAATTGTTTTACAAATCAAACACAATTATTTCTTAATGCAGTGTGGAAACCATAAACTGATTGTAATCAAATCACTCTGTATTTCAGGAGAAACTTCTGACCATGATGGACATAGTGTACGATGGCTTCGGATTTATGTTGACGTTTGGAGATCTGACTTTTGTTCCCTTCACATTCACCTGTCAAGCGTACTATCTAGTCAGCCATCCCAATGAACTCTCTGTATTCTGGATCATTACTCTCATCACTATGAATGGTGAGTTTCTGCCAAGGTTTTTTTTTTTTTTTTTCAATTTACCTTAAGCTACACTAGAAAGATGCTAATGTAGCTTTTAAAGGACACAATATCAATATGCTCAGTTTTGAACTTCTCTAACAGGAATTGGATACTATATTTTCCGGAAAGCCAACTCTCAAAAGTTCACCTTCAGAAAAAACCCTTCTGACCCGGCAGTGTCTCGTAAGTGTTTTGAAACACATTAACCAAACGAACAAACATCAAATGTTAAAACTGTTTGGTTTAAATTGTCTTTTAAATCTTATCAGACCTGAAAACCATTCCTACTGCAACTGGAAAGAGTCTTATTGTGTCTGGTCTCTGGGGGTGGGTCCGTCATCCTAATTACCTGGGTGACATCATCATGGGTTTGGCTTGGTCTCTGCCGTGCGGTTAGTGTTTGACTTTATTTCACCTTTCTGATGAAGTGAAGCTGTCGTTTCAGTCTGTCTTGACTCAATCTTGCATTTTATTCCTGATCTTTTCTGTAGGATTCAACCATTTGATCCCATACTTCTACCTGATCTACTTGTTCACTCTGCTGGTGCACCGTAATGCACGGGACGAGCGTCAGTGCAGGAAAAAGTATGGCTCTGCGTGGGAAGAGTACTGCAAAGCTGTCCCATACCGCATTTTCCCAGGGATATACTGAGGACTCACAGACTCAGTCTTTTACAGACACTCGGGGCAAATAAAACTTTCCTCAGGATGACCTGGCTGAACATCAGACATGGTTGAGTTGTTAGCGGCTTGGCAGCTTTTTTAAATCTTTGACTTTTTTTTGAGCATCACATTTGAACCAAATTTTCTGCCTTGTCACAAAACGTTTACGGATAGTGGACACTGCCCCTTTTTTAGAGTTCGATCTCTTAAAGATGTATATTGTTGTACAGATGTGTTTTTTTTTTTTTACTCACGATTTTTTGCATGATCCGTAACTTTCAATCTCATCTTATGTACACATATACACATTTTAAGTATCTGCTTGGCTATTTACCATTGGCTTTTTGTAATGACTAGTTTGTGGAATGCGTTTGTATATTGTGTATGATGGGATATTTTTTTTAATATGTATAGTAAGAAAATATGTAATGTTCTTTCTCAGGACCAGCAATTTGTGAAAAAAACAAACAAAAAAAAAAACAACAAAACTATATTTTCTTAATTTCTGTACATATTTAATAGAAAATTTTAGGTTTGGTTTGCATTTTAGGCATTTTATGCACTGTTAAACAACTTTCTTTTATCCAAAGTTCACAAAATTTGGCTTTGCTACCTCAGATTTTTCCAGTTGAAAACAATGTAAAAATTAGTTTTGTTTTTAGTCAGTTTTTGGAAACTAGTTTTCAGGCACTATGTGAAGTATCCCAGTATCTTTTGCAAAATCATAATTGTGTGCTGTGAACAGAAACGTTGAGCTATGAACTTCAATCTTGTACAAGGTAGCATCACTTTACATTTTCATTAAGGTTTTAATTTAAAACGTCAGTGCTCAACTGTGAATGTGTAATGTAAGGCTTTTCTTAACTTATCTTTTATGCAAGTATATCACTTGTGGGCATAACATTTGTCCTAATGAGAGTTTGAAATAAGTATTTATAGCTAAGATGAGCTTTTACTTTTATCGCAGTGAAAAGAAGCATTGTACAATGTTATTATTTATCTGGTTAAATTTTAGAGTATTCACTTTTGTTAAATTTTGTTCTCTGACGAGCAATTTCTGTAAAAATGCCATTTTTAAATACCCATTATTAATTAAACCACTCTAGACAAACCGTCTTGCCACAAAATCAAATGTACAGATTTGACTGTTGAGCCTAAATTCCTATTGTAGCTGTTAAGCTGGTGATACACGGGGCAACTTTTTGGGCAATGTTGCCGCCAACGGGCAACCAGATGAGACACAGGGCCCATGACCTATCTATTCCAGATAGACATTTGTTATCCACTCTTAATGTGAAAGTGCCCAAGCATCATTGCTCAAAAAAAGTTGCCCGGCAAAATGTGTATCCTCACCTTGTATCATCAGCCTAAGTCTATTGTTTACCATCCTCTTTTTATTCCATTACATTATCCTTTTTTTCCTGTCAATAATTCTACTCTCTCTGCTGATTTGTAACTGATCAATGTGTTATCAAAACAAGAAAAGAAGCTTGTCATAAACTGTATTAAATGTTCCCTTTCTCTTCCCTAAATGTAGACTATTTGTAAAGGCTTCAAAATTCATATTTTGGCAGGATGCAATATTACATAAGTTTAAAAAAAAAAAGGTAGTAACACATAATTCTGTAAGAATGACAGAATTTTAAATGATATTTGACAATATCCCACAGTAAATACAACATTTACTGTGCAATCTTTTTTTTTTTCATTTTAGATTTTAGTATTTTTTGTTTTATTCGTATAGGATTTTTAAATTGTTTTATTTTATGTAGGTACGTTTTTGTATTTAATTATGTAGCAAGTTATTTATGTAAAAAAAAAAAAATTTTGTGGCTTTCTTTGTGGCACAACAAACTTGTTTAGCAGCCCTCTGGATCAGTTCCTTAAGTGAGTCATTTGTTGATTCAGTAGATACTCTTGACAGATTTTTTTTTGTATTATTATTATTATTAAACAATACAAACATTAAGGCAGTACAATTATCAAAATCATAAGTAAAGACAAGATAAAAACAAAAACAGAAAAACAGATTAGTTTAGTTCATTCAGTGGATCATTCAAAATTTGGTCATTTTTAAACGATTCATTTTAATGAACCGATTCACAAGAGTCATTTGTTCGTGAATCGGGCTATACCTAGGTACGTTTGCAGCACGTGAGGAGCGCCGCCGCTGAAAAGCAGCGCATGAAAACACCGCTGTGATATGCGACCGACGTATGTCATGTGATAAATAAGCAAATATTTTTTATTTTTCTGAAATTGTATGAAGCGCTCCAACACTCACCGTTTGCGTGCCGCACTTCTGCGGCCGAAGTTGAAAATGGTCGGATTATGCGCTTTAATTTCTGACATATCTCATATTTAAACAGGAAGTTTGGGCGCGAAATATCGAAGTTTCGTTCGGTCACATGCTTCATTATTGTTGCCAGTCGGTTGCAAAGTACAATAATCTCTTTTTTAAAACTGTCTTTGTACAACAAGAGATGCGTACATATTCCTCAGAAATCCTCTTTTTGTGGACCCACGGAAGAAAGATCGAGGTTTGAAGGGTGAGTTAACATTGATTAGTCTCATTTTTATTCCTTTACTAGGGCCTGTCCCCATACTGGAGTCTTGCGGATCCGTGATAGATCAGAATCATCAGTGATAATTCGTATGCATTAGCTACAGTCTAGCACTAGATGTCAGCAATGTGTTGTACAATTGACGTAAGGTTTGCTCTGTGATAGGTCAGCTGGCATAAGGATGTTTTATTTTGGGCACCTGGGGTGAAGGATCTAGTGTCGAAGTATCACTTCTCTCATTAAGGGAAATGACAAAGTGACTGATGCATGAAACCATTTCATTCCTTGGCCAGTGCGCAACAAATGAAGTACTCATGAATGTGCACATTAGAAAGCTAATTGGTTTTAGTGTCATGCTAAATTGTGCTTTATTAGAGACAGCGAGAAGTGGTGCGTCGGTTTTTCTCAGCTTGGAGCTGGAGAAATTATAATTATGCTGCTCCAGATTGCTTGCATATTGTGTTGCTGTTGGCGGGCCTTGAAAGAGCTTTCATCTTTATCGCACAATAAAATCATCTCGGTGAGCAGACACGTCAAACTTAAAGATGCAGCCATAATAACATCTCTAGAGGTCTGCGCATTTCCTGCAGCCAGCCCTCTTCTTTCAAAGTGTAAAACGAGAGTGACACTGATGATGCTCGCGAGAAACTGAGAAACTGTGACTCGCTCTTACTGATAATCCTGGCGGACAATGCCAAGAAAAGCCCAAGGGGGAAGATGTATGAGGTCCTTGTCCTTATCAGCTCAGCAGGCTCTTAGAGGGCAGAGCGGTTGTGGCGCCTCCAACGATCATTGTGCTCACCGACCCACCCTATTATCATGTGTGCTCGCTGATATAACAGTGGCATCAATCTGCCGTGAACCAGACCATACCTGTGCCAAGTTAAACAATCAAAGCCGTGCATAAGGTGCCCTGTGAATTCACACACCCACGCAAAAACACATGCCCGCATATTTCTCTCTAGGGACGCAGGAGTTCATTTGGCAGGGACCCTGTCATGATCTGTGCATGTCAATTTTCTCACCAACCTGCTGTTCTGGGGGTTTTACAGAGCTTACACTTTTTTGCTAAACATTTCGGCTCATTTCAGACTTCATCTGAAAGACCTACTACACCGTAGGCACAGACCTACAGCATTTAGACATTCAAGTCCTATTAAGCATCTGGTCACAAGGTAAGTCTGCATGAGTAATTTGCATCTAATACAAACATTATGTCCGTTTTGAAGCAATATGTGGATTTATTTTTGCAGTAATACTCCTAATGCTCTTTTCAGTAGGATTATGACATAATTAAATCACTGGCTTTGTGTGTTTTCAGGGATATGAAGCTGGTTAGCCGTGCTGTGGCTGTGGGTTGCGGAGGCTTTGGAAAACTGCCCCAGTGCTTGTAAATGTAGTCAGAAATCCAGTACGGAAAAGACTGAAGTCAATTGTCAAAAGAAGGGACTTGACAGCATCCCACCTAAACTCCCTCTGGACACATAGATCCTTAAAATTGGTGAGGAGAGACTGCTAACTTTTTTTGGGAAGACATGTTCTTAGTTAGTACTAACCCTCATGACAAAATATAAAGAAAATATATATAATAAATTAAACACTTCATAAATCATGGACCTTCATGTAGCCATATTCCACTGCTTAATATTAGACAATATTATTGTTTTTACTGTTTTTTGATCAATTAAATGCGGTCTTGGCATGAATAAGTTTTTCAAAAACATTGAAAATATTTCTCTGACTCCAAAACTTTGAACAGTAGTGTACATTAAAAAATTATACCCTTCTGGGGGGAAAAAAACTTAAACCTGCACCAGCCTACTGTGGTTAGCTGGACTATTTTACCAGTTTATATGGGTTTTTTACTTTTCAGGTCATAAGGTCAGGAAACCAGCTAACAATACATACAATAAATAACAATCAATTACAATAATTATGGTAATTTGACTGTTAATGTGGTTACCGTGATAATTCTTCTTCACTTTTAGTCCATTAGTTATTATTCCTGTCCCAGTGCTCAGACACAAACCTCTCACTTGGGTTAAAATTTGTGTAGTAATTTGTGAGGTATATTACACTAAAGAATGGACGAATTAAAGAGTGTTACTCGTGAAAATTTACTGCAGGACCTCCCAGCCAACATCCTGAGCTCTGTCCCAAAAATCAAGAGTGTAAACTTAGAGCGAAACTCAGTCAAATCAATACAGCCTCAAGCATTTGCTGGTGCCCAGCGACTGATGCATCTGAATCTGCAAGGAAACCGAATGTCCAAACTTTCAGAGAAGGGCTTTAAAGATCTCCTAAACCTACGCTTTCTCATGCTGGGCCAGAATCAGATAGCTAGCCTGAAACCTAACATATTCATTGGCATGAGGAACCTCTCCGAGCTGGATCTGCCTCTGAATGCCCTCACTGCTCTCCCACCAAATGCATTCAAGCCTCTGATTGCCCTCAAAGTCCTGGATCTAGCCTTGAACCACATCCAAAGCATCTCACTCAAAGCCTTTGTTGGACTTGAAGAACTGCTTTTTCTCAATTTGGACAACAACAAGCTGAAGAATATCCAAGCTGGGACCTTTGCGCCCCTGATTGATCTTGAGATGCTGGTGCTAGACAACAGTTTTCTCTCCACACTTACCGTGGCCACACTAGAAGGTCTTTCCAACCTGCAGGAACTCTATGTGAGAAAGAACGCAATTGAGAGTCTGCCAGCTGACGTGTTCCGCCACACACCTAAACTTTCTCACGTGGGCTTAAGTGGAAATCGACTTCATGCCATTGATGGAAACATGCTAGCCAACATGCAAGGTAAGAAGTAGTACTTTTAAAATCAACTAGTATGTTGGTTGCCTGAATGACTAGTTAGCTATCGGTTCTAAGGAAACTCAATGTTATTAGGCTGGTTTGAGGTCCCCCGTCCCTGTTCGGACTTGTTTCTTAGGGGGTAATTACATAAGACATGCTTCTGCATTCAGCTAGACCAGAAATGCTCAAACTATGGGCCAAAATTGGCCAGTAATGCCATGTCATATCACAAAAAAACAAATAGGGAAATAAGAACAACACATGCAAGAATATCTTCTTTTTTAATTTCTGTTTTTGTTTTAACATTTTTTTATTTGAAATGTAAAGAAATATATATTTTTTTCATGTTAATTTTAATAATATAGTTGGATATAAAGCAACATTTACTTTTAGCCCATTGTCCTCAAACAAGTTTGATTTTTGGCCCTCAACAGTAAAAATGTTGAATAATTTTGAGCTAGATGGAGTGCAGTGTAACTGAACATTTTTATCATTTTAACAACATCTTAAAAATGCAACTAATTAAGTATATCAAAGCTAAAAATAAATGGAAAAATCTAGATAACCTAATTATCATAATTGCTAGCAGAAAAGAGGATGTTAAGTGTAACATGTTAATGACGTCTCTGATTGATTCAGGTTTGAAGGAGGTGTTTCTGCATGACAACCCATGGAAATGTGACTGCAGTATCAACTCGCTGGTACATTACATAGCCCAGACAAGGGCTAATCACTCTCCTCTGCGAAGACTTCAGTGCACTAGCCCAGAAGAGTTTCGTGATAGACCCATCCACCAGCTGAAATCTGATGAACTTCCCTGCAGTGCCTAGAAAATCCTCACATCTGATATCATATCACGAACAACCTCCAAAAGTTGGGAGCATGGTATAATAACAGCGTGATACTTTCTGCAACTAAATGGTGATGCTTCACATAACTCCAACCACAATGACTTAAACAGGTTAATGATAGAGCTGCTGTTCTGCAGATAGTCATAATTTTCACCCACATCAGTCGACTATTTTCAGGCCACCTGGAGAGCAGTACATCCTTCAAAACTAAGCAGGAAGTGTGCGTTTTTGTAATATTTTAATAATAATAATATGTTTACACATTCAACTAAATATTACAAAAGATCCTCTTAAATGTTTGTTATATATTCTATGCATTATTTATCCAAAGTGTTTTTTTTATTGTCCTTCAGCATCTACGTTGCTGAAGACGCTGTCAAAATATAATCCCTCTAAATAATGTTAGTAGGTGAGTAAATAAAAAAAAATACAATATCATACAGCAGTTACAATGTCATTAAACCCGTTCTTAAAATTATTTAATCTATTTGATGTATACAGTATATACACAATAAACACATCTTGAAACTGCAAATTATTTTTTTGTTAGACGCAGGGAAGCTTAAAGGAAATAAATAGAGGTTAGAAAATCCCTCTGCTCAGAGACCGACTGCAAACTTCCAGCACCACCTGAGACTGAATTCCTCATCGGATTGTTACAGCTGAATAAGCTTCCTTTGAAATCATCATTCTGTCTCTAAATTCCACCCAGGGCGCTGAGGCTGCAGTCCCACATTGAGGAGTGAGATCTTTTCAGATGCTGGGAAGGTGTTATTAAAGCAGGCTGCTAAAACTTATGCTTTGGTATTTTACATATTAAATCTAACTGGTGGGACAGCATTTCTAATGTAATGAATTCATGGTACATAAAAACAGCAACGAAATATTAAACTATTCAAATATTAAATATCACACAATGTCACAAATTTTACATTATCTATCTATCTATATCTATCTATCTATCTATATATATATA